TTCTGATAAGATAAATTACAGAGACAGCAGATTTTTACGACACAGCAAGAGGCCGAGCTGGTACAATATCCTGACTGTAAATCGTCCAGTGCTAATATTGGCGAGGAACCAGACCACTTAAATCAGAGCTCGTCTCCTGCTCAAATGTTTCCCTGGATGAGACCACAAGGTTGGATGCAGTAAAAAAAAATTTGCTTCCATCTCACGTCTGAGTTTGAAACTTTCTTTCCTCCTCCTGCTTCTGCCTCGCTGCCTCCCGCTCTCCCTCTCTGCCTCCCGCTCTCCCTGACGCTCTGCCCGCGTGTCCGATGCCGGCGGGGGCTCCTGAGAATGAAGCGGCCCGGAAGCAAAGGGGCAGCTCGGCGGGAGGCGGCTGCTCCCCACGCGTGGCCTGGAACTCGCCGTTCGGGTGGCCGGCGTGTACGGCCCGGGTCTGCCCGCGCTACTCGAGTGGAAATGTGGAAACGCGGCAGGGCCGCGGGCGGGGAGGCAGTTACCAGATAATAAAGTGACCCCGTAAACTTAGAAACTTAGTCCCGTTAACTCCGGCGGAGGCGCTTAATATATCTCCTATAGCTTTTTTTTTCTTTTTTTTTCTTTTTTTTTTCCCGCATATGTGCATGGCTCTGATTTTCTCCGTAATGTCTAGGTTTGCTTTTTCCACTCCTCCTCGTTTTGTGTGTCGCTTCTTTCGAGGGGCTTCCCCGGGGGCCCGAGCCCTCGCTCGCTGTCCGGCTCTGTTGTCTCGCACGGCAACAGCAACCACCAAATCCTGTGTTTTTCTTTTAAACAGCAGCGCCTGGTAGGAGGAGAGGAAGACAAACATACAGCCGATTCCAGACTTTAGAGCTGGAAAAGGAGTTCCTTTTTAACCCCTATCTGACCAGGAAGAGACGGATCGAAGTGTCCCACGCCCTAGGACTCACCGAGAGGCAGGTAAAGATCTGGTTTCAGAACAGAAGGATGAAATGGAAAAAAGAGAACAACAAGGACAAATTCCCTGCTTCCAGGCAGGAGGGAAAGGAAGGGGAGGCCAAAAAGGAAGCACATGATCTGGAAGGAGAAAGAGACGAAGACCAGACGAATTAAATTTTGTCTTAAAAAGCTCAGTGAATGTCTATCAATAAAACCAGCGTCCTTCGGCCCGATCCTCTCGCTGCAAAAGGCCCTGCCCTACTGGACGAGTGACCTCAGCGTCCCTCCGCGTGTCCTCCCGCTTCGGGTGCTTCTGTTGTGTGTGGTTTGGTTTTTGTTTTATTTTTAACCGTGTTCGGGGCAATATCTACATTTATCAGTTCATCTGCTCCTATTGGAAAATTGATACAGAGTTTGTAGCAAGACGTTTCTAATGATATAAATATCTATCTATATATATATATTTGCAACGTTAAAATGGGGCGATTAGGGGCAACGACATAAACTTCCTAATGATAAGTACCAATAAGCGGGACACTTATCAATACTTTATTAATCAAGACAAGTGCACTTGTACTATTTTAATTTTTGTTGAGTAAATTAAGTAAATCTAATGAATTTTGAAGAAAAGATCATAGAAATATATTTAACCTTCTACTATTGATATTTGATTTAAATAAACCAAATTTATTCAGATACAGAATTAATGAGCTTCTTCATGTTATTTTATTTATATTTTTAATCGTTTTTTCCTAATAACAGGGGCTCCTCTGTACCAACTCATCCCTCTGCCTTTCCCTTCGCCTTTCCCGGGTATTTCCTCGCGTACTCGACCCGGGGTTGTCCCGGCTTGGCGCCCTTCACGGCGAGGCAGCTCGCCTGCCCCGTGCCAGGCATCCAGGCCCTTGAACGGGGCCACCGCGCTGCCCTTCCGCCGCCGCGGGGCTCCGCGCAGCGGCGCGGGGGCCGACACAGGTTTTTCCTTCGTGCATGGGAATTTCTCAGGTGCGCAGAGGTTTTGTGGCCCTAAATCGCGCACAAACTGAAAAGGGGGAGTATCTTCTCCACACACAAGTAATACCGCGGCGGCGAGGCCGTTTCCATGGGCCTCATGCGGACGTGGGGCCGCGTGAGCTGTCACCGGGTCCCGCTGCGCGGCCGCGGAAGGCCGTGGAGGCCGGAACCGGCTCCATCCCCGGCCCTGCTCCCGCTGCCCTCACGCCGGACGAAGAGCGCTCCTCTCCCAACGGAGAAGAAGTAGAATGTATTCCCCCCTTTTTTTTTTTTCTTTTTCCCTCCCCTTTTCTTCTGATCTCCGGGCACAGTTCCGCAGATAGCGTTATCTGACAGGATGACAGAGATAGTTTTTTGTTTTGTTTTTGTATTTTTTTTTAGGAACACCCTGCAGAAGTACGAGGAATTAAATCCTCACCCAAAATCCTGCTTATTTTTTTTCCCCGTCCTCCTTACGGCTCCAGTGCGCGATGGTTCCTCCAAGGGAATGCGCCAAAGCGGCCTCGATGTTACACGGCCTGCGGAGAAGCCGGGGACTCCGGCTCATCCCGCCTGCCTAAAGGTGCCCGCTAAATCCACCGTGGCTGGATTTGGAATTGATAGGACGAGCATTTATCCCCCCTATTTTCCCCTGTGCAGAGCTCAAGCGCGATGCGAGGCCTCACTCCCGCTCTTGCAAAGCCTGGCTCTGACGGGAGGCAGGAGCAGGAAAAGTTGCCCCTCTGTTTTATTTTAATCACGTAATCGGGGTGGGGGGGGTACTGCAGCAGAGCTGCGGAGTAAACATTTTGCTGCAGGAATTTGCATAAATTCACCAGCAGTCTGAGTGTTCAGGATGGATGTGGGACCGTTTTGAAACGCGATCACCTGGAGAAGAAAATAGAGCAGGTCTTCAAAAATAAAGTTCACTCTGCAGGGTTCGGAGGGGTCCGGTCACCGGGCCCCAAAAAAGAGCTCTTTCCGGCCGCGTTAGTAGCCACAGGGTTACAGGAAAGCCATGGTGCAGGGAATGCTATTTCGATTCCTTCTCCCGCAATTCCCAGAAAGGGGGATGCTGGATGTACGGGCAAAATATATATAATGAGGACGTGAGCACCCATGCGAAGGACCGCTTAGGGGAAAGGAACGAGTTGCTGCCGTAGTTTTCCCAACGCAGGGGAAAAGAAATAATTAAAACATTCCTGATGAAGTTTCCGTTAGCGTTGCTTTCCCAGGGCCAGCGGCCGCAGAGAAACAAGTTCCCTCCCGGCGTACACGCGTCTTGCGCGGGCCTAGCAGCAGCGCGAGTGCCCGTGTCTGATTTCTGGGAGCACTTATTATGGCACTTCCCGCCTGGCAGCGATATTTCCCCTCCGTTCTGCTTGGAGTCCTGCTAAGAAGAAGAGTAACGATACCCCCGGTATCGCCGCAGTTACGCAGCGTCCAGATGCGCAGGGGCCAGGAGCTGCTGTGGGAATGTTTATTTTAGTTAGTCCGTTTTCGTGCAGGAAATTATGTAGGGTGATAGGATTTACATTATCCCTATGGATGCTCCAGTTGGAGCGCTGGTGCTGCTCTTTTCTAAAACAACAACTGAGCAGGACCCCTCCG